GGCGGGGGGTCCGCAGGGCCTGCGGAGACAGACAGCCACCGGGCTGGTGGCTGCCATGGCTGCTGGGGGCTTTGTACACGCCACGATGGGCCAGCTGGGTTTGAGAAGGATAAGCTGCCTCCACTTGGGAGGACGGCACAGAAAACTGTCCAGCGGGCACATTCCAGCGTGAATGGGGTGTGGAGGCCGTGATGAGTGGAGAGGCTGAAGGCGAGACAAGCTCTTTTCAGAGGTTCTGAGGGACCAGCGAATTAAAAAGCTGGGTCAGCAGAGAGGCAGCTGGAGCCTTGAGCAGGTAGGGCCCCGGAGATCACCAGTGGGTCTGCCCTTCCTGAGCATGTGGCCTCGGGCAAGCCACTGTCCCCCGCCCTCAGCATCAGCCTGAAACCAGACATTCCCACAGCCATGGGCTGGCGTGCCCCAGGGGCCACAGGTGTGTCTGATATGCCACAGAAGCTGGGGCTGGCACCTGGGAGCCAGCGCATGGGTGACGGGGCTGTCCTCTCCTGTCCTCACCAGTGACCTGGATGAGAGGCCTGGGCAGAGCACGCAGAGGCAGCAGCCCCTACCTGAAGCCCAGGAGTCCGTGAGCATATCCACGCCCCCTGGGCTCCCCCGACCACCTTCCTCAGCCTCAGGATCCCCTGTCTCCCAGTCTCTCACCTCCCTTTCCTCCTGATCCCTCCCTCCCACCTGCTCCTAAAATAAAGGAACCGAAAAGTGGACACAAGTGTGAATCTTAAATTATTATTATTTCTTCCTGTCGCTTACACCCGAGGTGGGGGTCAGGAGTAGGGGATGGGAACAGGAGGGGGGAATGCCCCCCCTAAGGCACTGACTGGGAAAGCCTCAAGAAGGGAGAGGGGCCACACTGTCCCCATTCCCTGGGGCTAGGCCCCAGGTCTCCCCAGCCCTGGGCTCCCCCCATCACCTGAAATGCTAAGATGAGGCCCAGGGCCACCCGACCTCCCCCCACCCCAATATATTACATCATCACTTTTTAAATAGATACAGGGACTGGTCCCGCTACCCCCTCCCTGTGACACCCCCCAAAGTTGGGGTACCTGGGCAGCTGTGCAAATGGGCATGGGGTGCATGGGAGGGAGGAAGAGCACCGGGCCCCTGAACCTGCCCCTTTTAAGGAGGGGGAGGGGCCGCCAGGCCAGGGAGGGGAAAATAGTGCAAGGCAAAAGCCCAGGCCGCAACGGGGGTCCAGCACCCAGCGAGGAGGGGGAGGCGCCCCACCCCAGCATAATTGGGTAGTTAAAAATCTGAAACTAGATTCCAACAAGACCAACAGAAGAGGCTATGTACAGACCAGGGTGGGGGGTGGATTCAATCCTAAGGAAGAGTGAGGGGATTCTTCTCCTCTGCCCAAGGAAGCACGGGTGCAAGGATGTGGGAAAGGGAGGTCTTTCCCACAGGTCCACAGCCCACGTCCCCAGCGGCCAAGCGAGTTGGGGCCCATTGCCTTGGCAAGGGGGCGCCCGCTCACCGGCTGGGGCGGTTG